GTACCGGGACAAATCCAACCTGTACCCGGGCGGGGGCCAGGTGGGCGGGGGCGCGCTGCGGCCGAACGGGCAGACCAAGTCGCTGGTGCCGCAGCGGCTGGCGCTGGAGTACATCGTGCCCTGCATGAACAAGCACGGCATCTGCGTGGTGGACGAGTTCCTGGGCAAGGAGGTGGGCGGGCGCATCGCCCGGGAGGTGCGGGCCCTGCACCACACTGGCCGCTTCACCGATGGGCAGCTGGTCAGCCAGAAGAGCGACTCCTCCAAGGACATCCGCGGGGACAAGATCACCTGGGTGGAGGGCAAGGAGCCCTGCTGCCAGACCATCGGGCTCCTCATGAACAGCATGGACGATCTCATCCGCCACTGCAATGGAAAGCTGGGCAACTACAAAATCAACGGCAGGACGAAAGTGAGTGACCCTCTTTCCCCCCACGTCCCTCGTTCACATCTGCGGCTTGGTCACTAGCCCGAGCCCAAGCTCCCCCGCACTTTGCTTTTTTCCTGCCCATCTCTTCCTCCTGTGCGCAGTCCACCTTTCTAGTCGCTCCTGCAAGACCAAGCAGTGGCCTGGCCAACGTGTTAGATCCTCTCTTCACACAGCCCTTCTGTCACACACTGAAGGGGCAACTCAAGTTAGAGATGAAAAATACAATTGTTTAGTCTGTTGGCTCTTGGGAGAAACACCACTGAGGGGCGAGCTGCCACTGATGCCGATATTGAATATCTTAGTCAACTTTGGGAGAGTGAACTTTGTCAATATTGAATATCTTAGTCAACTTTGTCACTGTGCAGCACCAAAGAAACTCTGCTGGAAATAGCAAGTGTGAGATTGCAGGGACCAGGATCCTAGGTGCTTTAATTGTTGTGTTCTCTAATTCCGTTTAGAACCCTGTAAAATTATCTTTGTAAGTGTAATCTTGGTAAAATAGGCTTGGCAGGGTCCAAGGATTGAGTAGTCCTGGAAACTGAATAGCTCCTCTTTCCTAAAGGGTTGTCCCTAAAGGTCAGGGTGGGGTAATGTGTATTGCTGATGAGTGAGGTAATATCTTTTATTGGACCAACTTCTGTTGATGAAAGACAAGCTTTTGAGCTACAGAATTCTTTTTCAGAACTGGGACCCCCAAAAAAGTATTACCTCACTCACTTCCTGCAGCCCAGGTGACTAAAACTACACTGAATACAAGAGTTATTGCTGCTGTCAGTTCTGTGTCTGTTTTGTGACTGACTTCCATCTTTAGGAAAAACTTTAAAACCAACAAATACACTAGTAGCACCTTAAAAACTAACACAACATGTAGAGAGTATCATGAGCTTTCATGGGCAAAACCGGAAGAAGTGGGGTTTTCCCAGAAAGCTCATGATACCATCTACATGTTTTGTTAGTCTTTAAGGTGCTACTAGACACTTGAAGTTTTTCCTGTTACAGATTAACTCCGCCACCCCTCTGAAGCTTTCCATCTTTAGGACAGTCAGTGAGCATGCTTTCATAAATGAGACCTCTCACATGGAAAACTGTAATACTTTATTAAATGTCTGAACTCGTATGGCACAATCCTTGTTCAGAAACTGAGCTTCAAATAATGCTCTATCCTCACATGAGAGAGATAAGGCATGTCTGTAATTATACATAAATGTCAAGGTTGCTACAGCACTTGCTGTTGGTTCTAAATTTTCCACTTCTCTATTCTCTTATGGGCAGGACAGTTTTTTGTTTTGTGACAGAAAGCTCATGTTGTACATGTGGGAAAATGAGTAGTTCTGTGGCATTTGTTACAGTAAATATATAGTTTTTGAAAATGATGCAGTTATATTTCCTGTGCTTAGTTTAGGTGGCTGACCTTGAGGTCTTTTTCCTGCCTATAAAATATAATTCTGAACTTATAGGGTATCTGTTGTGAAAACTTGCACTCTATACAAAGGCAAAAATGATCCTCCTTTTAACTTCTGTTTGAACTGATGGCCCCTAAAAATTTGGAATGTGATGCATTGTCTGTAGTGCTCCCCTTAAGTAATATGACCAGTTTGGAGATTTCATGCTACAAAATATTACATCAGTTTCTCATGATTGCTTCTGTTTATATATTCTGAAATAGTAATTCTTGTTACAAATATTTCTAGCATTATTTACTTGGTGTTTGCTTATGAACACACTCTTAGTAATGAGGGTTTTAGCATGTATAATAGTCTGTTTAAATTACCATGAGCTACCTTGGGGTGGTAATACAGGAAGTGCTCTTAGATGGTTGCATAAAACTGCTGGATGAGACTTAGAGTGACTATATTATGTCATATTACAATATCTGGTGCACTTAGGAATATAACGAAATGGAAAAAGTATTCAGGTGTGGGTGTGTGTTAACTTGACCTGTAGTGAAGTTATAATCTTATCGGGCAGTGCTGTTTATATAGCCTACTGTAAAATGTAAGCCTTGAGGAGAAGAAAGTTGTAACTGATGTTTTCTCCGCTAGTTTTGCCAAAAATGAGTACCTCCATGGTTTCCTTGATTTTTGTTTTTTGTTTTTTTTGTGGGGGAGAGAGGGGTCGTTTTTGGCTGAGACACTAGTCCTCTTATCAAATTCCAAGTTTTATGTCAGTCATCCTTTCAACTGTTTTCTTTGGGTTCTTAAATGGGGGGAGGGGTAGAGAGACTGCATAGGGCATCTTAAGTTTAGTAGAGGACTAGTTAAAAGAAATAATATCAACCATTTTAAACATTTGCAAGAAAGTGAAAATGACGTTACAACAAATCTGACAACTTGCTGCTTCCTTTGAAGAACAAGAATGTTAGGGTGAACTGCTAAGAAGCATCAGGGGGTAGCAGAGTTCGTCTTAAGTTTTTCCAGCTACAGACTAATAGTCTTGCAGCACTTTAAAGACTAACAAAACGTGTAGATCATATCATAAGCTTTTGTGGGTACAGCCCACTTCTTCAGATGAATGGAGTATTAAAAGTCCAGTTCCAAAATAAAGAAGAGATGGGGGGATGAGGAGGGAAAAAAGAGAGGGGGGGCGAATAGCAAATTGAAGTGTTCATGTTACATGAAGCTGATGGAGAAGGTCAAATTGTTCCAGTACCCATTGTTTGGTTGGTTAAGTCATTAGGATGTGGAAGGTAGTGTGCTAGCCAGATAATGTCTTTATTCATACCTATGTGATGGGGTCCCAAACTTGTAAATGCAGTTAAGTTCCAATGTTTCCCTGTGTATTTGGCTTGTGAAATTGGCCTGAAGCAATCTGTGTGTGTTGTATTCTGACAGACTTGTTGCTGCAGAGCATCAGCTAATAAGCTATGGAGGAGAGGGAGAAACTGGAAGGGGGGAAGAACCCAGCCCCTAGACTACTTCTCCGTAGCAAATTAGATTTCCCTGTCCATGGAAAGTGTCTACTATTTTGTTTGTGTAGGTTGGTGTCCTGACATTTAATTTGTAAAGCTATTATGTTGCAATTGGCTAGCTGACATACTATCATTGTGTAAGTTTCTTGTATAACTCTGCAGCATGGGATTTTTTAGCCAATTCGTCCATCAAGTGATTGTTCAACTCAAAAAAAAAATCTCAAAGTGAATATAACAAAAGTCTCCTAAAATTTGTCTCATTGTTAGATTTAAAATGGGAGCAGTACTTTTGAATGGGAATCCCTGCATTTTTTTCATGGCTTTTGCCTCTTTGTTGTTCAGACCCGCACCTTACAGTAGATGAGTAACGTGTTTGTAAATAGCAAGGCTAGGATTTAAAGTTGCCATACAGCATCAAACCATTAGGTCATCTGAAGAAGTGGGCTGTGCCCACGAAAGCTCATGATACCATCTACATGTTTTGTTCATCTTTAAGGTGCTGCAAGACTATTAATCATTTTTTTAAAGTTTTTTCCAGTTACAGACTAACTCGGCTACCCCTCTAAAACTTTTCATCTAGTCTGTTTTCCTACCAGCTTCTGACAGTGGACAGTAGCTGGTACTTCAGAGGTGGCTACACCTGCACTGAGGAAGCCACTTTGCTAATTGAAAAGTCTCAGGGTAGCCATTAAGAATGTTAAATTGTGGTTACCTGACTAATTGTGGAGTCAATACAATTTGATTAATTGATTAGTCGATAACCGCTTTGCGGAGCTTCAGAGGAAAAGAGAAGTTCTGGCTCAAGATGGCCCCTGGAGCCACCCGTGCAGTGGCTCTGAGCTCTTACTACATTTAAAATGCAGAGGCGCAGTGTCCCAGACCAGCATGAGCTGGGACTGCTTGGTCCTGGCTTGCACTGGGTCCAGCAGACCCTGTTGGTGGCAGCCAACCCTGTCTGCTGTGAACAGAGGGTTCTTGGTGACAGCAGACCCTGTCTGGGGTGGGGGCAGCTCCCTGTTGGGATCCCTATGGGTAGAGGCTGTTGTGGGCAGCACCCTGGAGATGGTGCTGGGAGAACCGGCTTTTAAGCCGGCTCTCCCCTAGCACCAGCTCCTGTCCTCCCCCTACCTTGCTGCCTCTCAAAAGGCAGAAAGGGAAGGAACAGTCAGTCAATACTCCACTCAACTACCTGACAAGCTTATGCTTATCAGGTGGTCGACTACTCGCTAACATCCCTAGACAGAGGTCTGCTGGCTGCAGATTGGATCCTAGTGGGCTGCTGCAGCCCACTGAGATGGAGGGCCATTCATGCAGCCCGCTTGTGGCTCTTGGTTGTCCATCGCTGGTCTGTACTTTCTGAAATCGCTGGGGTTGTGTTATGGACAAGATCACTCCAAGAGAAAGAGCTTAGAGCACCACAAATAGCCCACTACTGTTTTATGTATGGCCCACAAAACATTTTGTTTTCCATTGCTCACATGCAGGGTTGCCAGTTTCTGTTGATTGCTGTCCATGTTATGTTTCCTACAGGTATTACTGAAGTGTCATGCACTTGAAACAGGAGCATGTGAAGTGAGGTGTGTGCCGATTGTGCACAGCACTCACTCTGAGAGCCAGGAGGTCCTTCTGTATACAATCGAAGTACTGCTATGGTCCAATCTGTACACCCCGCAAATTCTCTGTATGCAAGCACCATTAGCAAAACTACTCTATCCCGGGAAACTGTCTTGGTTACAACAGCCCATTGAGATGGAGCGGCCCATTTGCTAGCCTAGGTTTTCCATTGCTGGGTTAGAGAGATGTTTCTCTTCTCTTTGCTCTTTTTCCTTTACTCTCCTGATAAGAAGTGAATGCTTTTGCTGCTGCAGTGAATGCAGTCCTAAGCAACTTCAGCGGAGACCAAGTGGAAGTCAGTGAATTGACAAAAATCTGTCCCATGAGTGGTTTAGGGGGAAAGACACATGGAAAGAAGAGGGAAAAGTCTCAAAGGTTAAAATTGCCAAAGTATTTGGTCTAGTGTGTGTTTTGGAACCAAGTTTGTTCACTTACTCCCACAGCTAACAGATTAGGAGTG